TAGGTGGCAACATGAATCCAGTCTTGCGTATTACAGAGGAGGTGAGAAAGGCAGCACAGTTTCTTTAATCTCACGCTTTCTCTTCCTGCTTGTAGGAAGATCCTAAGTGTTTTTTCCACAAAAAGACATTCAACTCTTCCCAACTGGTTTCTATTTTTTTTTTTTTTCTAGGGAATGAGGCAAGTGGGAGGAAAGAATACAGTATTGTTCTGCATGGACTGTAATTTTTTCAGAAAAACTGTTTTACCTCATAAAGCATAGCATCTTCGAGCCTAAAATACTTTTTGGAAATATACCAGTCAAGAGCCAGAGGTCCCCCCAGGTTTCACAGGAAGGAAATAAATTTTCAGAGGAGATGAATTATCACCCCAAGAGATAAGGGTCAAGTTCTAATGGGAAATTGGTATGCTGCAGTGTTGGTGGCCAGCTGTTGGTAGCCTGGTGCCAGTCCCAGGTGTGGAGCAGCTTCAGGAGTGGCATTTGCCCCACTGGCTCAGGTACCTAAGCTTTCCTTGTACTGAATGTAGTGAGCACAGGGAGCTGGGGATGCTGAGGAGGTGGGAGTAAACCACTAAAGCTGCTGGGAAGGCATGCAGTTCTTTAGTACACAGGGTGAAGTTGCTCACCTATTTTTCCCTCTTTTTTTTTTTTTATTAACCAATTCCACCTCCATGAGGATACAAGAAGATTAGACTTCCTGAGTTAGACTTTATGTAACATGAAACAATTTCAAACAGATGATCTTCAGCAATAAAAAAAACTACTTTTATGTGTTGCATAGTCTCTGGGTGGCCAGCAGGTACCCATCTATCTGTTCTATCACCTCCCTTCCTCAACTGGCAAAGAAAGAAACTATTACTAGAGCATCATGGCCTGAGGCATCTAAACCCAATACAATCTGCCATGCTAAAACTAAAAGAGGAAAGAGAATGGACAGGTTAAAAAAAAAAAGGAGCAAAAAAAAAAAAGGAGCAAAATGAAACAAAGAAGCAAAAACCTAAACAAATAAGAAGAGCAAAGAAACAAAAAACTAAAAGCAATGCGTCAAATCTGGAGAGGGCAACAACCATTCATTTGACCATCTGCTCTGACTGGTGAAAGGCTGAGGGCCTGGAAAGGATGAGTAGCTGAAGCTCTGCCTTCCAGCATGAACTGTCTTGTGTTTCTTCAATCCACTCCACCAGTTTGCTGTATTCCACTCTGCTGGCGTGGTTGAGGGACGGGAAGGAGGAGGTGAGTCATCAGTGACGTGCATAGAAAGTGTGCAGAGAGGAGCAGCTGTGCCACAGAGTAAATAAATACACTCCTCTGTGCTCCCCACACACCAGAGCCCCAGGTGCTGTCCACAGCATCCCAGCTCACCTCCCCAGCTCTGCATTGCTGCCTTAGACAGCTCAGACAATGACCTATCTCTCGTGTTGGTTTGGAGTTGGGTGATGGCTGAGGGTGCAATCATGGGGGCCAGGAAGGTTGGACATACAGGACTTCTTGGCCAAGCAGACACATCCACTGACAGCACCTGTCTGAAAATGAACAAGCCAGGTTTGGATGGGGCTTTGAGCAACTTGGTCCAGAGGAAGGTGCCCCTGGCCATGGCACGGAGTTTGGAGCAAGGTGAACTTTAAGACGCTTTCCAACCCAAACTATTCTTTGATCCTACAAGCACCTCTCACTCTGAAGGTGTCTGTATCAATCAGACCCTGAGCTCTGAGACAAGGTGGGGAGAGAATGTGCATTTGGAATTTATTTTCACTTCTGTCAGCAACTTCTACATCAGCAGTTTGGCGTTAGAAATCGAGGTTTAATTGGTGAATAACCTGCCAATCACATTTACAAAATGCACAGGAGGTACTTTTAAATTCTTGCATTCTTGAAACATTTGTGATCTTTTTCACGTATCTTTTAGCCAATCTCTCTCTTATTACTTGAATAAAAGAAGTGGGAGGATGAAAAAGAGAACAGCAAGGGCTCGAGAATCTTGTTATAAAGATACAGAACATCATCTGTAGGTGGTGATATAAAAAATTACAAAAAATGTTCCTCTCTGTTACTGTATATAGATATGCCTGGTCAAAGTCTGCCACTACAAACACCAGGAAATAACCACGTTGCTGAACGTCATTATCCTGCTTTCTCCGGTAGCTTCATTGGTAAGTCTGACGTTGAATTCCTTAAGTCTTTCTGAGTGTTTTTGGCTGCCTCAAGAATTAATTTATCAATCACTGGCTTTTGCAATCACATGCTCGTTCCAGTTAAAATTGCACTAGAAAGTTGTTGTCTGAGTTACTTTATCTGTACTTTAACTCCTCAGTCTTGGAGTCAGGTGGATGTCAATCTGAATTTTGATCTGGTGTTTGCTTTAAATGCAGCCACGTGGATGGTTCTGGTCTTATTCTTTACCCTGGATTTTCAGACCACTGTAAAATTTCAAATGTCCTCATCCTGTTTCTCATTTTGGGGAACTTTTGTACTTTTTTTTTTTTTTTTTTTTTTTCTCTCCGTTTTGGTGACATTCTATTTTCAGAAATAATTTAGCCAGAAGTAAGAGCTCAACCCTTCAAACAGCATTTCATCAGGTAAGTATCTGAAAAAAATTACTAAAACATGCTACCAGTGCTGAAATATTCATCTATCAGTTCATATAAAAGAAAGCTTTTTCTGTCACTTTAGGATTATCCAAGAGAAAATAGGACTGTCTGGAAAGATATTTTTGCAATGCAGTATTGATTTTGAGGAAGTTTTTGCAATAGAAATGTTTATGAGATCCAAGGCAGTCTGGTCACTTCTGATGGCAGATTGGAATAGAGATATGAAATGAAAATGTGGTATTGAGCTGAAAAAGCTGTCTTCAGTAGGGTGCCATTTTTGAAATCAAAAAGATAGCATATTGTTCCAATGCAAAACACAAACCCATTTTCAAACCTTAAGAGCTCATAAAATTGCCAGACTGTTAATTGCTAATGAGTTACATGTCAAGAGGGACTCGTGGTTATGAAGATTAGATGGTTTTTTAATCATTTTTTCCTAACAGAATGTTCTCTCTGAAGAGGGGAATCCCTGAATGGCAAGAAGCAGTGGTGTCATCTCTGTCACAGTGTTTACAGAAAATGGCTGATGCATCGTCCTTGTTCTCAAGACAATGTCTCTTTGAAGGCAGTGGGAGATTACCCAATCTACTAAAACCATCCTGAAATTCAAGGCTGGCTACGAGCCAGGGCAACCCCCACTGCTCCTCAGGAAAGCGGATTGTTGGGGCATCAGCACAGGCACTGCTTCCGATTGCTCCCATTTCCGACCCCTGGGATGCCAGGCTGGCTGCTGCTGCTGCCCCTGAAAATGCCAGGCCTGTGCAAAATAGGCACCCTTGGAGGAGGCTGGGGACACAGGATGGGAGCACACTCTTCCCTGCAAGTGTCAGGAAAGAGCAGCACCAGTAAGCTGGATTTCTCAGGTATCTCACATTCTCCGTGGTTCCCCCAGCTTTTCCTGTGCCAGGAGCATCATGGCTTTGTTTCAGGTCAACAAAATTCAACCTTCTGTGCTTTCCTGAGAAGCCATTTCCTGAGCTCCAGCTCTGATAAAGACCTAAGATCATCATTAGGGACAAAAATAGTGTGGTGGGATGACCTCTGCTAGCAGCTAAGGCTCCACCCAGTTGTTTGCTCATGCCCACAGCAGAAAGGGGGAGAGAATAACAGGCCGAAAGTGTGGAAATCTCACAGGCTGAGATAAAAAGAGCTGGATAAGTGAAGAAAAAGAACAAAAACAAAATCAAGTGATGCAAAGGCAATCTCTTGCCAGCTCTCACCAGCCAACTGGTGCCCAGCCAGTCTCAGAGCAAAGGTTACTTCCCTGGGCTGTAATCCTTAGCACAGTGCTACAGCAGGTGGGGCATCTCTTTGGCCAGTTCAGGTCATGTGTCCTGCCTGAATCTCCTCCAAAATTGTGAGATATGGATTAGAACAAGAGCAAAACAGGCTTAAAACTTAAAAGGAATAAAGAAAGTTTATTAACAAAATTATAAGAACACCAGAATAAACTTCCAGAAAACCCCTTTATCCCCCACTACCCAACCATTCCCTTGTTCACATGACAACATAGAGACAAAAAACTTTGGTGTTTAAAATAGTCCCAATTCCTGCTAGAGTATTTTCATCAGTCTTTGTAGAGAAACTGAAGTCTTCTTCTGCTAATCTATGGAGTTTCTCACAAGAAAACTATTTCTGTTATAGCTTTCTATTTTTCTGATGCCAGCTGCCTGGAAACCCTGTCATCAGAGTTCACTCCTCCCATTTCACATCACTCTGAGGTGTGTTATGGGCCATGAGTCTAGGGATGTCATTTTTAAGGATGAGTTATTCAAAGGCAGAAGTTCTCTTCATCTGTCTCTGTGAGCTTCTCAGGAAACAAGTTTTCTCTTTGCCTCTACAACAGCCCCAAATCTTCAACTATTACTTCTCCCCCCTCTGTTCCAGCACCTCACTGTATCACAATTACTCCACTTTTTGCTCAAAATCTACACTTTGAACACTCCATTCTTCCCAATATACTCTGTCATGAATTAAAGGAGTTTTTTCAGAACACTACTGTCCATCTCCATAGCTTTAACAGAAAAATATTTCAGCTTATAAAGCATCTCCTTATTCTCTCTTGTCCATCTAAAACTTAACTCTTTTCTTCACTGTCTTTGATGGTTTTATGATGTCTTTTTCATGTTGATTGTCTCTCTCTCTCTCTCTCTCTCTGGGAAAAAAGAGTAATCTGTACGTTTTATCCAGGTAGTAAAAGAATTGAAGTCTTGGAAAGCTGCAGATGTTCATGGTGTCAGGTTTCAGTCCAGCAGCAGAAACTGCAAACTAAGCCAGGCCGGCTCCATTTCTGCCCCCCGCCCTCTGCGGCCTTGTCCGGCCTGGAGCGGGGGAGGAGGCCGAGAGAGCCTGTTACCTCTTCAGAAGACGGAAACCAAAGAGAACAAGAGACCTCGGGCTTTACATCTTAAGGTGGTGTTCACAAGTTGATCTCACTTCTGAATGGTTAAAACCGCCGCCAATTCTCAGAAATTACCAATAATTGGTCACAAGAAAAGACTCCCATCAGCCACCAGCAGCTTCAACTTCCTTAGCTCCCAAAGCTATCTTAAAGGTAAAGTCACCCTACGACACTTGTGCATCCTCAGCCTACAACAGCTAAACCACTGATGTGCTATCACCGTTATCTGGCCACAAATCTTGAAATACATCACCCCAAGGGCAGCTTACCCCAAGGTATTTCCTTCCCAGCACTTTTAGGAGCAGCACTGGGAATTTTCAGGAAGCAGGAAAAAGGTAGTTTAGAATAAAAACTTAAAATAGGGTTTAAAAAAAGTTGAAATATGATATGGTTTAGATTCATGTTTCAGTGTGGTTTTTACTGCATATGGTAATACTGAGTCCCTTATATGGTTCAGAATATCACAAAACATTTTAGTAAATCTTTTTCCTTTTTAAAGCTGGAATACATTGAAATATACTTTTGCTAGCAGTTGGGAACTGGATTAGCAAGGACCACAATTTATGAGCTTAATTTTGTGTTCAAAATATTCATGTTTCTGGGTTTGCAAATATTTATTTTGTTTCCTTTATTGATATGGCAGCTTTTTTTTTTGCTATTTCATCTAAGATGAAAATATTCTCACTAATGTCAACCCATTTTCTTTTATTTTGCATGCAGTTATTTTCAATTTTTTTTAATATATTTTTGATCAATATAATAAAACATTTGGAAAACTTTTTTTTCCTCACTCCTGAGATTTTTTTGGTGTGTGTTTTTCTTAGGGTTTACATCTTTCTCCAAAACACTGGAAGATGTACTGTGGACCTGCATCATAGTAAATAAATGAATAAGCTCTTTGCATCAGGCACTTAACATCACAACAACCCACTCACTTGTCTCTTGAAAAATTCACCAATAACATCACTGACGTCATTAATTGTTATTTCCTTTTCCCAGTAAATGTTTAAGAAGGGTGCTAAAAAAGAATTCTGACTCCTCTTACATAAAGGAAAGGGTTTAAAAAATTCCCAAGCCCCCAAGAGACAGACATTAGCCCCTGAATTTGAAGTCTGTGTAGGTGGCATTACTCTCAAAGTAAGGCTTTTGTTCTTCAAAATGTGTTTTAACAGGAGCTCTCTTTGGGGACTGTTTTAAGGCAATGAAACCAAGTAAAGACTTGACAGCAGGTTCACTAAGTATGGATGGGCACATCCCAGGGACGAAGGCAATTCTTTCTGTTTAGTCTATCTTTTGAAGCTCTCTCTTCTTCTAATCTTCTGGCAATACTCTAGCTGTCGCCTTTGAGTAAACCCTGCAAAGATTTTTTTCCCCATAGTAGAAATTAAAACCTCGTGTTCCTTCAGGGTGGAGAAATGTATGCAGGTAGGCAGCCAGGCAATCTCCCTGGCTGTGCTGTGCCATGCCTCAATTGAGGGATGCTGCATGCTCAGTGACTGTCAGTACAGCTTCTCCTAGGAACTTTAAATTGCTCTCTTGAAATCCAGTTGCTGGGGCTTGTTGTCTTCTGTTTGAGTGTGCAAGCTGAAACAAGGCAGATAGCAGAAGGCAGAGCTAAGCTCGGTCACTCTTAGCTTCAAATCCTAACAGTTATGTGGGGTAGATTTAGTTGAACAGAAATGCCACTTAAAAGAATTTGTAAAAGTTGTACCCATTTGAAAAACTCGGATCCTTCCAAATACATAAACGTACCATAAAACTTTACATGATTAACCCTCTGCTTTATCTGGGTTCTGAAACCTCATCCCATGTAATTTCATATTTTACCAGAACATTGCTTTGTAGAAATCCCTTGGGGAAAATCCAGCTTCTTATAAGGTCTGTTAGAGTCCTTGGAATTTTTTCCTATGTTTTTAAGGACCTCAGAAGAAAAGATATTTTACCTATCTTCCTATATGTAATAAATAGCTATTCTGAGGATGATTAATCTACTTTGCTAATGAAGTTTCAACTGTCTTACTTTGATAAGCATTAATATACGTTTGTGTTGTTACTAGATATCTAGGAAACTTTTTATTACTTGTCATACAGTCCAATCGAGTCCAATCTACTTTTAGTCATCATGAACTTAGCTGTGGAAAAAAGTATACTTTTAAAAATGTGATGGTATGTCAGCCAAGAAACATGTGGACATTGTACTCAGACATTAGTTTTTCATTCTTTAAAGCAAAGCCAAGATATTACCTATAGCATCTACATTATGGAACAAAGCATGTTTATTTATTATGTAAATTTTTCCTGTTTAAAGTACCTCTCCAGAATGGATGTTATGGAAAATGCACTAGAAGAAAAAAATGAGCAAAAGGGATCATATTTCTTGTCATAGCACTGGGAGAAGACATGTAAAGGCAAAAGGTGAAAGCTTTATTTTGGACAAAATGCCTGAGAACAGAAACAAATCTGTGTGAACCCTCCCTTTCCTGTTTCTGGCAGTCACTGGCAGCTATGAGACCTAAAAGAGTCATTTATCTCATTCCTCTTTATATTTGATATAAAGGCCTCAAAAATTACTAGATTCTTGGTAAGAGATGTTTTTTATATGAAAACACAATGTTAATTCAAATTGTAGTTCTAGTCTTTGTGGATTTGCTAAATTGTTTGAAAAAACCTAAACAAAACATAACCATTGGCTACTTTTTATTTTCTGGAATGGGCTGTATGAGTGAAATATTAGTCTTGATTGTTGCCTTCATCACATAATGAATTATGAACAACTAGCTGGGGGTTTTCATTTCATTGCCTTTTTTTTTTTTTTTTTTTTTTTTTTTTTTTTCCTCTCAATAAGTGCCTTCTAGAACCTTCCTAACTGGGGAAGATGAGGATTTAAAATGTAAAAAATGTAAACAAAAATCTTTCTATATGCTCCCTACTACATATTTATTTTCTTTTCATTTTTATTCCAATGCTCGTTTTACCACTCTGTTCTTCCACTCTATGATGTTACTCAGTTACCAGTGAGACCTGCAACATCAATGGAATGGGGTAAACAAAAAACAACCCAGTCCTGTTCCTACAAAGAAAAAAATTTCATCTGCAAACCATCAGATCTCTGAAGACGGTATAAATATATATAAGCTACTCTGAAGTGGTGCTTTTGCATGTACAGTACAATTACCACACCAGCTTGTTACATTTCATTTACTATTACTAGGATTCAATATTTAGTCTGTGGCAGTGCTTAGTCTGCAGAGCTATTCTGCTAACACAGGGCAGAACAACACTGCAAAAAAATTTGAAACAAGTAAGGGAAAAATAATCAGTTGTCTTATAAATGCAGATGACATATAGCAAATGGAATTCTGGAATAATGTTAATTTTCTTAGGAATTAGACCAATATTCCATGTCTTAAACACAGATTTCACCTCAGCAATTCTATTTGCCAGAACCATTTGGTATGACTTGAGAGCAATTTGCTGTACAAATGAATGCTTTATCATATTCTTTTTCACATACCTGTAGGACTTAACATACCTCTTTTAAAATGTCCCTTGTTGTGTCTTCTTTTATAGGTCTCTGGTCAGGTTTGCCAGCTTAGGTGGCTGTCAGTATTCACGTGCTGTAAGCATAGCTGTGTCCCACTACTTCTGCAAAGTAAACTTGGGCTTGGCATAACCTCAGGTTTATAGGCATATCTAACCAGCAGCCTTATCAGCCTCCAGTCTGCTGGAATATGGGTGCTGCTGATACTCCTTTTTAAAATCAAAATCTTCTGTAGTTTGTTCAAGTTAGCATCCTGAGCTTCATGTGGGTTTTCCTTTAATTTTATAATTAATATATGGACAAGCACTTGCATATTCCAGGCAACATAGTACTATGTTGATGGTTTTGTCCTTAACAACTAGGTTTATTTCCCTATATATTCTTCTCCAAATGTTCATATTATAATCATGAAAATTACAACCCCATAACTACAGCTTCCCCATCAGCCACTCAGTGTTAGATACTGACTTGCTGAAGGCTCACAAAGTGACTTTTTGAAATTTTTTGCAATGCAGCAAAGGTCTAGTGGTTTGCAAAAAATTATCATATCTGAACAAGGGGTAATAGTTTTAAACAGAAAACCAGAGAAAGTAAACTTAGATTAGATACTAGGAAGAAATTATTTTAAAAAAAATTTGTGGGGGTGGTGAGGCACTGGAACAGGTTGCCCTGAGAAGCTGTGGGCACCCCATTCCTGGAAGTGTTCAAGACCAGGTTGGATGGGGCTTGGAGCAGAAGGATGTCCCTAACAATGGCAGAGGAACTGGAACAAGATAATCCTTAAGGTACCTTCCTTAATTATAAAATGTAAACCATTTTATAATTCTATGATTTATTTTTTTATAAAAGAGTTGGAGAAAAATAAAGAGAAAAGTTGCTCTTAGATGTGTAAGAATTTCAATGTTAGGTGGCTGGGTGTTTGTTTTTTTTTAATTGGAATGGAAGAATATTTTTCAAGGTCTCCATTTTTAACTGGCGAATGATGTAAATTTAATATCTATTTGAAATGGAAAAATGTGATTTCTTTTAAAATACACCAAATCCTTTCTATGTGGTTCATAGACTTCTAACTATTATCATTATTACTATTCATGGAATAAAGGTATAATTCATGGAGTAATATTTTTGGAAATATTATTCACAGAATAGGAACAACTGGTGTGCAATTGTTTTTGTTCATTCAAGGAAAAGTGCCTTTCTGATTCGATCCCAAACTATGTCACATATTTGCATAATGGTGCACTACGTGGCCACATTAGAGACTTGCTGAAAATAACCAGAAGGCAGTGTCTTACTTGCTCTAGCATTTGATTCATTAGCAGGCTTATCGTTTTAAGGCTAAGCTAGAAATATACATGCAAATATTCACTACTCTTAATTTACTTGCCAAACTATCCTTTTCCCATCTTGTTTAAAATCTGGCAGAGCTGTGCAGAAAAAAACCAGGGGGACTTGACAGCAAGCTGGTCATGAGTCAGCAAAGTGTCCTTGCAGCAAAAGCCAAGAGCACCGTGGGCTGCATGAGGAGGGAAGCCTTGCCATCAGGTGGAGGAAGGGGACCTTTCCCCTCGACTCTGCGCTGCTGAAACAGATGCTGAGTCCAGTTCTGGGCTCTCCAGTAAGAGAGAGACATGGAGATAGTGGAGCAAGTCAGTGAAGGGCTGGTAAAATCATGGAGGGTTTGGAGCAGGAGGAGGCTGGGACCAGTGGAGCTGTTTGACACGGTGACTCTCAGTTAAGAGAGGATCAATCTGTTTGGGCACAACACTGGGACATGCCCTCACATTGACGCTT